CTTCCACTATTTATCGACTTAACCAAAACGAAATATTAAAAATTTATAACAAAACAAACAACACACAAACGTAACGTTCTTCTAATTGTTTAGCAAACACAGCCTGACGACGGCGGGAGAAGTTCGGCGGTTTTCCGATCATCGGATGGTTTCTTGAAAACAGTGCTTCCGAAGAGCAGGAACCCCACCGCGTATCCGGCGATAGCGACGATGAAAACGCCGCCGTTGAAGGACATAACGGCGAGCATCACGAGATACGAGAGGCCAGTTTTGAGTGTGTACACGGCGGTCTGAGCGATCCCTGCGGTGCGGTCGGTGGAGCCATCAGCCCGGAAGATCGGAGAATGAGCTAACCACTCGGCGATTACGGCGAGGAAGAAGACGACGATGAGACATAGAGCGTACATGCCGGAGCTTGTCCCGGGCCAGCCAGAGAAGAGAACCTCCGTGTTCTTGCCCCAGAAGAAGGTCATGTGCATCATCATCATGTGGGGTTTCGTATGATTCGTCATTGATGATGATGAGGGTGGTGGCATGTTATGCATATCATGATCCATGGTTGCAAATGGTAGGTTCTTGATTAGGGATAAAACTTTTAGAGAATATCGTTTTAGTATTTATTGTGATTTTCTTTGTTCTTGTGATTTCCTAAATGTATTGTGTTTGTAATGTAGTACAAGTACAGCATTATTTTGACTTGTCAAAAACTTTGTGTAGTACAAACAATCGTTATATTAGAAAATCTCCTAAAAATATATTACCTTATTTTCATGATAAAACATTAAAACTGTATCATTCTTCTTCTTTCAGTTGGTATTAGGGATTAAATAAGATTATATATAGCACATCTAATTTTAGTATAATTCTAATTATTTGGATATAAAATATCTTAACTTTTAAAATAATTTTTTTTTTTGGGGTCAAAATATAATAAAACTTTATTAAGTTTTACACTTTCACTGTTTTATTTTTTTGGGTAAGCTTGACTTTATTAATGGGTCAATTTGCAGAATATACATATTGAGCACTATATTGAAGAATATAGTTATGAAGTTGGGGATTTTAAATAAGTAACCATGTCACTAAGTGATTTGTCGATTTTATCCTTCTATACGTGAAGAAATTTACGACACTAATAATCCAATATATTCTTAGAAATAAGGAAGATTTAGAGGTGCGATTCTCTTTTC